CTCGAGCCACTTATGAATAAAATCATGTTCTGATTTTTTCTCTGGAAATTCAAAGTAAAACATTAGCAGGTGCCCTCGTCGGCCACCTTAGAGCGAAAGGCTCAGGTCTGGCCGACATGGCCCCTTGCATTTGCAGCCTACGAGCGACAAGCTCGGGCACTCCATTGTATTTTTGTATCAGCGAAGGGCTCAGGCCTAGCTGAGAGAGCACATCGTCCTGGCCCCGTAAGCCTAGAAGTGAAACGCTCAGGTATGGCCGACGATGTCCCCAGGACGAGGGGCCCGCAAACGGCCCACGTCTTGAAACGGGAAGCTCACCGCGTCGTCCACGCGCCAGAACGCAGGACGACAGGCCTGAAATCATGGCCGAGGTGACAAAATCCCAAAACTCAGGGATGGGCAACGACAGCCGTTGGAAACCGACCAAAAGTCTAGCCCGCGTCATAAATAGGCGACGGGACCCGCCCTGAGACCACGGACGTTATAAACGAAGTCCGAACCGGCCGAAGGACGAGCACACCCTTCGGCCGAAGCCTGAAAGAAGGATACCCCCGAAACAAAAAAAAATACATATGAGGGAAAAAGAGGGAAGCCGACGGCCGTGCACACTTGCCGGCCTCGAGCAATGAAAAAATAAAATCCCCACAATTTAGGCCCATTTTGGCCAGGTACATATCAGTCGAACACAAGTGTAGTACCACAAACAGGCAACATGGACGACACGTCCACACACTACAACGGAACAATCAAGGCCGATACACACGCCTTTAAAACCCTAACCACATCGGTTGGGCGACACGCGAGAGGTGACCTTCATCGGCCATAGTCCTTTGAGGCACCAACGTCTGGTATGAAACAAAGCATCGCAATCCTGATTATGACCAGGACGAAGCGGGCACTTATCAAGTAATCAAGAAACAACCTCTACTGGCCACAGCACCTTGGATGGCCGACGCAGGCACTGGAACCATAGCTAGCCGACGAATACAGGACCATCTCCTGGGACAAGCTATTCCTTATCCAGTACCCTCATCGGCCACAAGCCAGACCTTGGCCGGCAGTGGCACCGCGAAGAAGTAAATGCCTAACATTTATACTTAGGAAATCATCTAAGTACTCAAATGAAGGAATTCTAGCCGAAGCGGGTACCAATATACCACAAAGCCGTTAGCTACCTACACCTTCACATGTGTACCTGTGAAAAATTCGAAGTCCACGAGACTATGGTGAAGGTTCCCTTATCGGCCAGAACACAGGGATACAAGCCGACAACGGCCATGGCCAGATGTATCCAAGGCCAGGATGATAAGGACGCCAACGCTTGGACGGAATGGACACTACGATCAAGGCTAAAAAGGGAAGCACCTAAAAGGAATAAAAAAAAACACTTAGGAAATTTTGTGAAAAAATCCTAAGTGTTATGATAGCAAAGGAACACCGGTCAAGCCGACCAGGCCACCAGGCCGAAAGGAAAGCACCTAAGTGGATCCCAAAACACTTAGAAAATTTTTGACAAATTCCTAAGTGTTATGAAACTACGTCCAAGCCGACCAAGCCACTAGGCCGTAAAGACAGGAGCTACATGGACCCAAAAACAATTGGGAAATTTTTGAAACAAAATCCTAAGTGCTACGACAGTAAAGCAAAGAGGCATAGGCCGACCAGACTACTGGACGGGAAGGCCAACCTCACGGACGTAGCGGACACTCGTGGGTGACCCAAGTTATGACTTGATACTTAGACAATTTACAGAATTGAAATGACAAAGCAAACAAGCACACAAAGGATTCAAGGCCGAAAAGGACAGCAAAAATTTCTTCAATTGATAAATTTCATTACAATTGGGGGGCACTACGGCCGCTACATCACTGGGCAAAAATTGAAAAGCTAATTACAAAAAGTAGCCACTCAAGCCTCGGGGGCACCTCCATCTGCGGCCGCCTCATCGGCCTCATCAGCTCCCTCTTCGTCCTCAGCTTCTTGGCCGGCAGCAGGCGCAGCACTGGTAGCATCATCCAGGAAGTCGAACTCAGTGTAGTCCGGTTCGCCGAGGTCGGAGCTTTCTATGGGGGACTCCCGCTCCGACAGCGGAAGCAGGGCCTGCTCTTCGGGATCCTTCATCAGCTTGGGCAGCTTCAGGTTCCGTCTAGCCCATCCCGAAGTGTAGTTCATGGCCTTCAACGCCCGGGATAGCCGCCGACACAGGAGCCTTTGCATCCGCTCCTGGCCCAGGTTATAGTAAACGGACATCTCCCGGCTGAAATACTCCCGGCCGGCAGGGGAGTTCATCCCCCAATTCTCCAGCCTGGCGGCCACCACTTCGTAGCACCAGGGGAGCCTCTCATCGACCTTCCACCCCTCGGCCAAGAACTTCTCAACGGCCTCATCGGCAGCCTTCACGACGGCGGCCTCGGCCTCAGCCTTCGCCTTGGCGGCCTCCTCACTTCTGCGCTTCTCGGCCTCAAGCGCCCTGTGGGACTCCGCAAGCTCCCTTTTGCTCTCTTCGAGTTTAACCAGGGCATCGTCCCTGGCCGCGACGGCTTCATCAGCTTTGGCCTGCAGCGCCTTGGCATCCTCCCGGAGCCGGTCAAGGCAGGCTACCGCCTCGTCGGTAGCGGTCCAGTTGTAAATGGGCCTCCCAAGCCCAAGGCTTGGGAGCCCAACCTTAATTTTCTCTATAAATTCTCCCCTTGGGAGTAGTTATAGGGGTTACAAATTCATTCTATTGAAGCATATTATTGCACTTCTCTCTCTAGCTCTCACTTCTCTCTAGAATCTAAGAGATATACTCTATCAGGGCTGGATTTTTTCTAATGGACCTATTGTAATATATTATGCTAATAAAAGTTGCCGACTTTCTTGAAAATGGGGGCATTGTATAGTTGCACCTGCTGCACATGGCCTTGGTCGGCCCTGAGTACAAGTGATCATTCTCTTGGGACCCACAAAATTGAAAAACAATAGGATCCACAAATCGTATTAAAACACATTTTTTTTTAAAACTCGGAAGTCGTATCAAGACACATTATACATATAGTATTTGTGTGTACATGAGTGTTGCTAGAGGGGACTACTCAGATACCGTCCACCCCAACTTTAGTAAATACCTTTATTTTCGTCTAAACAAATCGTGAAGACATTTAAAGCTAATATGATATTTTTTGTTACGGCACCCTATATGTTCATGTAACACTCTATCTGCCTATGAGACTATGACCTAATCCTTCGTAAGCGGCTAGCCACAACTTGTAGTCGCCAGTGGTCTAGTTCGACTCGAGCCTTATGTCCAACAATAGTGATTACTACTATGACTTTTTATGTATGTTCAACATAGCCCATCCATCTATTAATTTATTTTAAATGAATTCAACTCAAAGTCATTAGTTTTAGGCTAGGGTGGCTCGGTCCAACTTGTACGTAGCGGTCTCTAGCTATTCGTTTGCTTCATCATTTTACACGTGAGTATGAGAATATTTGCAATTGTGCATGTTTATGCAAAATATTCGTCCCTCTAAAAAAGGAGTAATGTAATTATTAAAAAAATTAAATTGTGTGATTGTTATTGAATCGGTAAAGTATGAATGAATATGATAAGAGCGAATTGTAATCATTCAATATTACTAAATACGAAGTATGTAACTATCATCCGAATCGTACTAGCTGCATCATTGCGATTTATATACTACTTTACTTTGACTACAATTTATTTATTAATGTATGTGAATAATTTTTTTTTGCAAATTTTTTTTGAAATCATCTCCTTACTAAGTTTCACAATATGATTTTTTATTTTTTTACTAATACAAAATTAAATATAATGATGATCAAAGTTGTGCTTTGACAAACGTGAAAACGAGAATGTTGCAACTAAAAAGAACGGGGCCGGGGATATGTGACAAGCATTGTGAGACAAAGGAAAAAAGTAAAACGAGACCACTATAAGGAATAGAGAGAGTAATAACTTATTTTCATAAATCATTCTTGAAATATACAGAGTAGCATGTAATCTGAACTAAATTTTCATTAGTAAAAATATTGTGTTAAATAATTTTAACCTTTTCAGTATTGGTTGGATTATGGGAGATTACTCGGGTTGACCCAATATTTGATTTAGTACCCAAATAATCCTCGACTATTAGAGCGATACCCAACGCACAATGATTTGATTAATTGGATATTTTTCATATTTAACTTTAACTCATTCATTAAGTCTAGTCATCCGTTAATTTTATAAACCTTTTCTCCGTCAATTGCAAGCCGAGTTCATTTACAATGCCTGTGAAGGTTATATATTATCCTTCATTTCATAAAAGTTGCAACAGTTTGACTTTCACATTTGCCAACGCGCAACTTTGACTGTAATTATATTTATTTACGTATTAGTAAACATTAAAAAAGTTAATATATTGGAAATTTACATTAATACAAATTTATTAATATTTTATACATAATATTTTTATTATATATATTATTAGAAAATCGTAGTCAAAGTAAGGTGTGTGAATAGTGCAGAAATTTCAATGTTGCAACTTTTATGAAACGGAGGAAGTATATCATTAATATCACTCTTATATAATTTAGAGCAAAGGAGTCATTCTCATCTTTTTATTTGATATCACTCTTTCTGTACAATTGCGGCTAGCTATTAATTACCATATCAGGTTTGTACTTAAAGAGGAGAATATTAATAAAATAAAGAAATGATTATTTGGTTGACTTAACTAAGCGTGTGTTTGATAGCAATGAAAGTGATTAAATCGATTGAATCTAATGAAATTGGTGAAGCTCTGATGGTTGCGTTTGAATTAATATTATCTAGTGAATTAATGAAAAATTATACTTAAAATATACTCGTATTTTTTATTAAAGTAAAACTATCTTTCAATGAATTCAATAAAAGTGTAAATTTAATCACGCTTATTTTAATAATGATATAATTCAGTGAACAAAATCAAAAGTTAAAATAAACAAGGTTAACAAAAGGCTCCATTTAGTAAAATGGGCATTTGGTAATAGCCGAGAACTATTTTCAGCTAGTTCCCCGGTTCATGGGCTTGTGATCCGGCTCTTAAGCTGGGCAACCAATGTGGCCCAAATGAAACGGAGTACAAACTTACAGAAAAGGGTGGTTTAGTAAACACATATCTGTTTGCAGGATAACGTCGTCCGCCTATATAAAGTGCTTGGCAAATTAGGGTTTCAGAGTCCCAGTACGAGATCCCGTCGTCTTCTCTGTGTAGCTCCAGCGGGAAAATGTCGATCGGAGAAGTAGCCTGCACTTACGCCACTCTGATCCTCCACGAAGAAGGCATCCCCGTCACTGTAATACTCACCTTTCATGATCTCAATAGACACGGACTATCTCTGTTTCTATATCTCCGGATTACTGGTTGTATTAATTGTGTGCTGTTATGCAGGCGGAAAAAATTGCTACCGTTGTAAAGGCTGCCGACGTTCAAGTGGAGTCGTACTGGCCCGGCCTCTTCGCCAAGCTCTGCGCGAAGAAGAACATTGATGATCTCATCATGAACGTTGGCGGTGGTGGTGGTGGTGCGGTCTCCGTTTCTGTTGCTGCCCCCTCTGCTGCCAGCGCCGCTGCTGCTCCTGCCGCTGAAGAGAAGAAGGTGAGTATACCTATTAAACATCCGCAGTTGTTGAGTTGTTTGTGCATATTTGCGCCATTTGATTTCAAAAACACCTTTAATTTGCTGAGATTAGTAATGGAGTAATTGTGTTTGTTTACAGGAGGTTGTCGAAGAAGAGAGTGATGAGGAATATGGGATGAACTTGTTTGATGATTAGAGTTTTAAAGTTTTTTTGTAATGTTAAGATTTTGGTTCTGCAGCCCTTTTTTGATAAATCTATTTTGCTCGTGTCGTGGGGTGAACTTTTGAATCCTATCATGGTTGAATTATATGTTGATGTTTCAGTGATTCTACTAATTTAATGTTTAAAATTGGTTGCTTTTATTTGATCTGGAAACGAGAATCATACAGAGCATTGGTTGCTTAGTTCTTATTGCTACATGAGTTTGAGTTGGTCTAGTTAAATCTATGCTGTGAAGAACAACGTATAGAACAACTAAACCCTTTAATTATACCGCCTTTGATTATACCAGTGTATCGTCTCACCTCGCACGTGGTGTGTCATCCCAAAATGGTCGCATCTTAATTAAAACAACATCTTTTTTCTTCGCCCAGCCATCCTACTAAACTAGTTTCACATACAACTGGCCACTTTGATCCACACTTCGATGACCTGAGAATTCCCATACGTGATCGACTTTGATATATTATTGATAAAATTTGATTTGATCTTCTCCAATTTTCAAAATGAATGATCTAGTCCTCCTAGTTGAAGCAAACACGTGTATTCCATCTTCTCAATAAAAATGAATGATGTACCACTTGGAGCAAACACGTATGTTTATATAATACTCTATATATATACACACAAATACGGAGTATATATATACACACACAAATATTTTTATAACTTTTATATGTTTTTAGGGATTTTTAAGATATCGAGTTTGTTTGTTTTAATATACGCGAATTATATCTTAATGTATGTGAGTTACATCACAGAATGAATTCTTGTTATATCATTTTATAGCTCTAATATTAAAAATAAAACATATTCACTATTTAAAAAAGGTAATTAAGCTATTAGGATCAATTTTTCGTTGTTTACATTGAAATCAATGTTTATGATATATATATATTATTCTCAAACACATACAAAAAATTTGTTCAATTTTCCAACAAATTACATTTCGAATGGATTTGAGTTACATTGATTAATAATGTAAGTTATATATCTTTACATGTGGAGTTACATCTTGTTATTCGCGAGTTACATGTCAACTTTCTTCATCAAGTTACGTCTCGTTTACATGTAATTTACGGTTCCCATAATGTGAGTTACATGACAATATAATGCGAGTTACACAACACAATTAGCGTTGCTATTCAATGAAAAATTATTTTTATAAACAAACATTTTTATAGATCCGATATTAAAAACAAAACATACAGAGTATTATATTTTGTATACACCTAAGTTAGTATTTTCTATCAACACAAGTTACATTTTTCATAACACTAGTTACATCACAAAATAAACCCCTTTTATTAAAACAAAAAAAACTATTTTTGAATCATTTTTTTTTGCAAAAAATGATTGCTTGGGGAAAATGACTTTTTAAAACTTTGTATGGTCTTAATATTAAAAACAAAACATATTCACTATTTAGGTAAAGTAATTAAAAAAATTGACTCATTTTCTTATTGTTTACATTGAAATCAATGTTTTAAATAAGTTACATTTCGACTTGCTAGTAGTAACATTTCTTTTTAACGTGACTTACATTTTTTTACACACAGGTTACATCATTCTGCTACTGGGATATATAGTTCGATAATATGTTAAAATTACATAGACAATATTGGTCTCATTTGAAAGATCATGAAAATTAAAAAATTTTGATATAAATTTTATAAAAATCTGACCAAAAATAAAAAAAATATTACCATTTTAAGAAAAAGAGCGAAAGAAAATTATAAGGGCAAGTGTCGCAGTATATGAACTGAAACACTTGCGGATGTCTAATTTTTCGAAATCACCTTTTAAATCAACTGACACTCTTTCCTATCAAACAACTAAAAGGAAAAAAGACTCTAATAGGACTCAAACATGGGCTTGAAACACAAATAAGAACTCTAACTTTTTAAACCACAAGTAGGACTTATTTTCAACTAAACTAACAAAAATACCTCCGTCGCCATGCAACGAACAATCGCCCTCATGAGCCTAGCTATAGACTCCATCATCGATCATAGCTCTCGCACAACTTACTGTTATTAAACCTCCGTCGATGACCTCCATTTCAATAGGGGGAATCAAAGGATTTGCCAGGAAATATGAACTTCCCACCCATCAAAGGGTCTTCTGGAGCAATCTGAGGGACCTTCCAACAAGGAGCTTTGTTGTCCATGGTGAATTGATTTTTTGACCCATGTAATGATTTTTGCAGTGGTACGAGGGAATGATCGTGTTGATGCATTCTTTCTGATTCCTCATCTCCATTTCCATTTTCAATTTGTTCAATTTTATACTCTGCACTTGTTCTATGAATCAATTTTCATCATTTGCAATGGAGCCAAAGATTCATTATTTTTTGGCTCGAGATTATGATGGAATAAAGCAAAATGCTCACTAAACTATCTGCGCTTCTTTGTTATGAAGCAGCAGTCAGTACATACAATTTTGGACGCGATTTTCACTATTGGTCATCCGGAAACAGTATCTCTGTGTTTTAGTATAAGGGTAAGACTGCGTACATCCAACCCCCCTACCTCACCATAGGTGGGAACCTTTGCGGCACTGGGATAAATGAAAATGATGAAATGACTTGTTCTATGAATCACGTGTTTCAGAGTATTTTCTTTTGCTTTTGCTTGTTCTGTTTTAATTCATTGGTATTGATTTGTATAGTGGTCTATCTGGAAATCTGAAAAGCTTTTGTTGGATTTTTTATTAGATTTTTTTGTATGGTTTGTGTGTAAGCTATTAAGTTATTCATAAAATGCTCAAAGCATTTGCCAAAGAAAAATAGTCATAGAAATTCCGTTTGAGTGGAGTGCGTATACTGTGCAACCGGTGCATGGTGAGCACCATGCACCCATTACTATATGAGATGTAACTCGTGTGATCCCACATGTAACTTCAAGTTAACCAAAATGTAAATTACATTCATTCAAATTTAACTCGTTGAAATGTAAATTGCATTAATTGAAATGTAAAATGGAAACAAATTAGATGTAACTTGGAATATGTAACTTTAGACTGTTGAAATGTGAAACGTTTTTACAGAGATTTAACTTCATGTATTAGTTACTATATATACACACGTTGTATACTTATATATACATATATACACACACACTCCATATACTTGCATAAAATATGCTTCCTTGCTTCTCTTTAAAATGTATAAAACCTTGACAACCACGAAAAGCGGGGCAAAGAGAAGACGGAGGGGAAAGCAGGGAAAAACAATTACGGGAAATGAAAAGTTAGTGGAAGCCTTGCGTCACTTGCCTGGGAAGGGTGCTGGAGAAGAAAAATGTGCGGTGATGGATCAGAGAAATGATTTTAGTTGCAGAAACGATAGGTATTGGGATCCGGCACACCATCCTCATGGTGTGCCGGTCATAGGGTATAATTTGCCGTTTGAGTGTATTAAAAAGAGTCCATGCAACAGATTTGTAGAGTAATACGTAGTATTAGCTACATATAATTTTGTTGTTGTTCATATTTAATGTCACAATTTAATCATAAGATTATTATAAAATTTTTACAATCTCCCAATTTACAAAAATATCAATGTCACCGAAAATGTCATAATATCAAAGAAACGTCAAAATGTCAAATAATAATACCGTCAATGTCAATATCAATGCCATAAAAATGTCATTGTAATAATCGCAATATCTGTAATAATATCATGGTAATGTCAATGTTATAAAAATGACATTGTTATAAAAATGACATTGTTAAAAACAATGTCAATGTCATAAAATTGTAAATATTGTGAACAAAAGAAAAAATGTTACAATGTTAGAAAAAACATCACAATGTCAAATAATGACAATGTCAATGATATAAATGTCATTGTAATAACCACTAATGTCATGATAATGTGAATGCTATAATATTGACATTGCGAAAATAACAACGTCAATATCGATGTTAATGACTTTCAGAGCAATGCCATTGCTATAATTTAGAAAAATGATAATGTCAATAATGGCATTGTAATGATGACAATGTCAATGTTGATGTCGATATCTGTCATGACAATGTCATTGTAGAATGTAGAAAAATTTTACAATGTCAAAAATATATCACAATATCAAATAATAACAATGACATTATAATAATGATAATGTTAATGCCGATGTTATTGACTGCGGTGACAACGTCATCCCTAAAATGTAGAAAATGGAACAAGGCAAAAAAAATCACAATGTTCAATACTTGTTCTCACTTTATTCCATCAATCATATTGTCCCAATGAAGGTAATGACACTGATATGCACTAATTAGTAGTGCATAAATGTATGTTTTTATGTTTGATTTGTGTGGATTGTTTACCGTTTTATTTAGTTTGTAAACATTTGTGTGATTTTAGTTGTAATTGTATTTTAATCTTCATTTATAAGTTGTAAAGTAGAATTAGGAATTATGGTGTTGAAAAGGAGGACTTTGAAGTGAAGAAAAAGGAGATTGAACCGTCCAGGAGCTGAAACCCGACCGGGTATAACACTTGACCCGGTCGGGAAAGATTTAACAGACGAAGGTGGCTGGAAATTACACAGACCCGGTCAGGTCCCCTATTCCACCCGGTCGGGTCAGACTTGACCCGGAACACCAGAACGTGCCGAAGATCACCAGAATGTGGAAGATTATCTGATTTTGACCGGAACCGGTCGGGTAGACACTTGACCCGGTCGGGTACCCGGCCCAAGGTGTTGAAAACACCTATAAATAGCACACTTTTCCTTCACAAAAAATCATCTCTTCTTCCATACTCTTAAGCTCAGTTTAGAATAGTATTTCTTTCATATTTTTATAGCACATTTAGTCTCCAAATGAGGAGCTAAACTTCCATTTCTTGGTGTTGCTCTTGAAGCTTGTTGATTATTAAAGTTGTGAGTTATTTTATTAACTTCTTCCCTTGAATATTAATTCATCCTTTAAATACTATTTCTATATCAATGTTGGGGAGTGTTACTAAGATGACAATTAGTTAATATCTTGAGATTAGTTATAGTAATAGTTATTTCTTTCTCTATGTTAATATTGGGGAGTGTTACTAAGATGACAATTAGTTAACATCTTGATATTAACTATAGTAGGATTCATCTTCTTTAATATTCTTCCTTGAATATTAGTTAATTCCTATTCATATTTCATATTAATATTTTGAACATTACTTAAAGGATAAACTAGTT